TTTTCACCAAATTAAAAAATAGATCTCTTGAATGTATCTTATGAGATGATAAATTATAACAGCCGCAAGGCTTGCTACTGCCAGGCATTTTTCTAAGAGTTAAACATGGATGAATTCCTTAAAATTCACAAGAAGCTTCTAACATAAGAACTATTACCACACCATGATTTTACAAAGAGACATAGGAGTCAAAAATCTTGTCCGGCACTGCACTGGCGGAGGGGTGATGCCAAGATTGGCTCCAGTCTGCACTTGGACCACCTACAGTGTTCTGTGCTTCTACCTTTTCTCTTACTTTCTACCTTTTGCTATTAGCTACATTTTCCCTTTGTTGTTACATTGTTAATATTTATATTGTCCTGTACAACAAGCAAGTTGTTGAAGCTTTGTCCTTAGTTGAAAACAAACAGCGTCTGTATTATTATGGCAGCAATTTCCATCACTCTGCCAAGTACTGACCTCATCTTCCTTTTCTTGCCTCTGTGCCCTTGAGGGAGGATTCCTACATTATGAAAGAGACTTTTCTGGTCAGGTGTAGCGGCTCACACCTATGATCCCAGCACTTTGGGAGGAGAAGTAGGAGGATCACTTGAGCCTAGGTGTACAACACAAGCCTAGGCAACATACTAAGACCCTGTCTCCAAAAAATATCAAAAAATTAGCCTGGCATGGTGGTGTATTCCCGTAGTACCAAGTTACTCGGGAGGCTGAGGCAGAAGGATTGCCTGGGCCCAAAAAACCAAACCTGCAGTGAGCCATGATTGTGCCACTGTACTCCAGTCTGGGCAACAGAGCGAGACCCAACTCAGTTTTAAAAAACAAGGAAAATGAAATGAAATGTAGTTTTCCTTACTCTACACTATTGCTGAAATCACACTAACTAACGTTTGCTTCATATGTACTTTCATATAGACTTTTACTTGAATGGTGTATAGTTATATTTTTTTCCCTTATGTGACAAACCTTCCATTTGCTCAGTCTTAGGTCTTTCTGTTTTTCCCTCCAGAGCTTCCCCTGGGAGGACTTTCTCCTCCTGCTCAAAATTGGACTGGCTGCTCTTCTGGGCTGGCTGAACAGCTATCATCGCCGATTTCCCTAGAACCATCTCCTTATTGTCAGGCCCAGTGTCCTGCTTCCCTCATTTTGCTAGAGTTCTCTCCTCCAGTGACATCCAAAGAAAAGAGAACTTTCACAGTTCCCGAATGTCTTTATTTTTTTCCTTCACACGTAATTGAAAGTTTGGCTGGGTGTAGAATAAGTAGGTTGAAATTAAGTTTCCTTCCAAGCTTTAAGTGTCCCGTTGAATGACCTTCTAGCATTCAGGCCACTGTTAAACTTAATGCCACTCTGATTCTTGCTTCTTGTAGGAAAAGCCCACTTTCCTTGTTACTGTGTTTAGTTTCACAGTGACATGTCTAACTCCTTGCCTTCTTTCCTTGGAGGAGGCTTTCAGTTGGCTCTTTTAACTTGAAGATTTCTTTCTTCAGTTCTGGGAAATCCTCTCTTTTTTTTTTTTTTTTTTTTGGAGTTGGAGTCTCACTCTGTCGCCCAGACTGGAGTGCAGTGGCCGCTCCCGGCCACCGCAGCCTCGACCTGCTGGGCTCCGGGGATCCTTCTGCCTCAGCCTTCCAAGTAGCTGGAATTACAGGCATGTGCTACCACGCCCAGCTGATTTTTTGATTTATTGTAGAGATGAGGTTTCGCCTGCCCAGGCGGGTCTTGAACCCGCGGGCTCAGGCAGTCCACTCACCTCAGCCTCCCAAAGGCGCGGGATTACAGGCTGAGCCACCGAGCCCGGCTTCCTCTCTTTTTTATTTAGACGATTTCTCCCATTCTATTTTCTTCCTCTTCTTAAGATTCCTAGGAAGTGTGCTCTGCCATTACCAGTCTTTCTTTTGCTCTACCTGCTGGGAGACATTCCTTAACTTTATTCTCTAGTTCAACTAATACATTTTAGTTTCGCAGTTACTTTTTTGTTTCTTTTTCACAGCATCTCCCTCTTGGTTTTAGTCAGATAACATTACTTTTGAGTCGGGATCTGATTCTGTCATCCCGGCTGGAGTATAATGGAGTATAATCACAGCTCACAGCAGCCTTGACCTCCTGGGCTCATATGATCTTTCTACCTCAGCATCCCAAATAGCTGGGTCTATGGGGTCACACCACCACATCTGGCTAATTTATTTTTGACTTTTTTGTGGAGACAAGGTTTTGCTATGCTGCCCAGGCTGGTCTCAAACTCCTGGGCTCAAACAATCCATTCAACTGGTCTCCCAAAGTGCTGGGATTACAGGCATGAACCACCACATCCAATCAATATTTTCTTAAATCTGAGTATATCAGAGCATTTATGTATATAAAATTGCCTTCTATTTCTTGAATAATCCATTTCTCTGGGGGTCAGTTTGTTATTTTTTGAGTCAGGGTCTTACTCTGACATCCAGAATGGAGTGTGGTGGCACACACACAGCTCACTGTAGTCTTAACTTCCTGGGCTCAGGTGATCCTTTGCTCCAGCCTCCCAAGTAGCTGGGAATACAGGCACATACCACCACACCTGGCTAACTTTTGTACTACTGATTTGTATAGATGTTTGTTGCCTAGGCTAGTCTCTAATTCCAGGACTCAAACGATCTTCCTGCTTTTGCCTCCCAAAGTGCTGAGATTACAGGTGTGAGCCACCATCCGCAACCTTGGGGTCAGTTTTTTAACTCATTAATATTGATCTTTTCTCTTTCATGCCATTGGTTCTATTCAATCATCAGATTCTGAATCAAGAAAATATTGTATAAGTTGGTATGGGTTTCCTCTACTTTTCAGTTCGGTCTCTTTGCTGTATAAAAATTCTAAGAACTCTGTGTGAGACAGGACAGGGCAGAATGTGGAGTTATCAACAGTCAGGCTTCGCCTTAGGGTAACAGCTGGCTTTCAAGATTGGGACTTTCCAAATGCTGGAATGAGGGGCTTTAACCTAGATAACAACATCTGTTATGAGCATCAGGGTGGGAGAGGAGGTGACAGCCAACTGTCCCGCATACAGGACATCAATTAATCTCTGTTTTTCAGTACTACTTCTCACCCTCACCATCCATCGTACCTGCCAATTCTGGGCCTGGGGGTCTCCTGGGATTCCCATGAGCAGGCTGGCTCCCAGCTCCTCGTAGTTCCCTTCTAGCACATTCTGAGCTGTAAATCTTTCCACCTCTTTTATCTGTCAACATGCTCCCATCTGCTTTGTCTTCTAGAAATTCATTGAAGGGGGAAGTCTGTTGCTGAGTACCACTCTTCATTCCTTTCCTCTTCTCACTGCTATTCTAAGTCTATTCCTTTTATTACATAAATTGCATTAATTCAGCAGGTTCTTGGAAGAGGTTGGAGCAACTTAATGCTTGATCTTTTTTCAACTTTCTGGGCATTAGTTTTACATGAAGAAATAAGTACGTGTGTGTGTGTGTGTGTGTGTGTGTGTGTGTGAGTGTGTGTATGTATATATAAGGGAAATCAATTTCTAATGTAATAATATAAGTTGTATACATATTTTTGGATTTAGGTGTATGTTTTCAGCAAGAGGACCTTTCATCATTTTTTAAAGAAGTGTGTGACCTAAAAAAAGAACTAAACCAGGAAAACACCTAGCTTCTCCTGGACTTGATGACTTAAAAATATTTATGCCATTCAACCAAGAAAAGCAGTCATTTTTATTTCATAAAGAGGGAAGCAAGTTTATGGAATGTTTTGGGTGGGGTGAAATTGATAAGCTTATTTTGAAGTGCTTTATTTATAAGATGGTTAAAGAAGAAATGTCTAATAGGTAGCTAAATATCTATAAATATATATGTATATCAGGAAGACTTGGTCAAATTTTCTCATTAACCATGAAGCATATAAAATCACACAAAATAAATAATCTATAAAGGTAAAGAGTAGAATTCTGGAAAATACATTTAAGGATGGGGGGAAGAAAATAAACCTCTAACAGAGACTTTAAAGGAGTGTTTATCAAATGAAGTATGTCAAATGCTGAGATGTCAACGAAAACAAGACTGAAAAATATGTATTGGGTTTTAGAAAACTAAGTCACTAACAGCTGGAAAAACAATGAAAGTGAAGTGGCAAAGTAGTGAAGGCCAGACCTCAGTTAACATCTGAAGCAATGAGTGTGCAGTTGTACCGATCCCCACATCTATGTGAGTCTCTCCAGTGGCACTGTCAGATGGGAGAGGGGATAACTCACCCAGAGTGGAAATATTCCTGGGTGGATAAGGTGGAAGGAAAAGGATACAGAACTAAGAATGCTGACGACTGTTATAAATACTTCGTGCAGGTCAGGATGAAAATGGAAGCATGAATTTAAGGGGTATCTGAATGCTTGAGAATAAATAGAGGGGCCAGAAGATCAGTGCTTAGAAGTGTAGAATGGACAAGCAAGCGAGCGAGTAAACTGGGTGGACATGAGGGTGGGTCAGAGCAGGAGCCAACCAAATGTACGTCACTCTGAGCAAGAAGGTGTGAGGTAGGGACACGTAGTAGGAATGGCAGAGGAAGTAAGTGGGTGGCTTCCGAGTAGTGGAGTCTCGATCACTGACGTGGAGAGGAACTGCGCTAAGGTGTTAGACTGGCTAAACACATATAGAGTGATGGCATGTGAGATGACTGGAAGTGTTAAGAAGGATAAGATCTGGTTTCTAAATGTTTCCTTAAATACAAAGAAAATGATTCAGTAACTTTAAGAAAAGAAGCCCAACACATTGCAGGTGGGGTACTCATCCTATTTACGGTGCAGGACATATGCAACACAAAGATGAAGAGGCAAAAATATTCCTTAGGTAATTAACAGTTGACTATATAACCCCTTATTGCCCATTCTACTCTAGGATAAGATGATTTTAATAATCTTGGTGCAATGTTAATTGGAAAAAAATTTGCTTCTGCATCTTCCTAATCCTATCACAAAGGAATACACGGCTTTTACTCTTTATTATATATTTAAACACACTTACCTGATTCTTTTTAGGAAGTGCTCTCTTTGTGCACTTGGTTTCTTGAGATTTTTTCCTATTGATTTTCTTTTCTTTACAAGGCTGAGCTTCTTGTGTATTAAGTAAGTTGCAAACACTCTCTTCTGTAAAACTGGCCAGTTGCTATTAAAAAAATTTAAAGGATGCCATAAGGTACAAGCAATTACATTTTAATGCATAGGTCTCACTTCTGTTTTTCTTTCCATATTGCTTCTACCGTTTTACATGCCATTTCTTCTTAACTCACAATGAAGGAAATGGTAATAACCAATGTCTGAACTATCAAATACAGACCCAGAAGAATATATATACTCCTCAATTATGTTAGGGAAGAAAGAAAAAAAAGCTTAAGAATTAGTTAATTTGCTCACTCATCAACTATTTATTAAGAACCTACAATATAGCACTGCTATTGAGTTACAGAGGAAAAATTAATAAACTCTTATATTATCTAGGTTTGAATTTCAGGTTTATCATTCAACTGTATTAGCTAGAAACCCTAAGACAGTACATATTTATACACTATAATGTAATAAACAAAAATCCAATTTTGTCTAATTTAACAAAATAGCAAAAAACATACATTCAGTGGAAGTTATATATAACTCCCAGCTGAAACCAAGTATTACAAACAAATCAAAGAACAATTCTAAAAAACTTATGCTATTTTCTGGCTCTGTTGATTATATACCGATCTTCTCTACTTTCATGTCAATGAAATTTATAAAATAATACAGATCTCAAAAAAAACTTTTCAAACAGATTACCTTCCATATTAACACAACTCTGAAAGCACCTCACTTTATTGGATTTTTCTTCTAACAGAATTAATTAAAATCAAATCAGGAAAACATCATCACCTTAGGTTACATGCTAGTTAGAATGAGGTGTTAGTTCTTAATGACACTGATCAAACCAAGGTATGACCCATTATCATTTCATCCTGAAAACAGAAGTATATTGAAAGGTTTAAAAACAAACACGTTGTGCTAAATACAAACACTTACATTTCTTCTGGTGGAAGTCCGTGTTACTCTACCAACTTTATGAGAGGACATTTTCTCATGGTTGTTTGAAGAACTAAAGGTATCAGTGCCTGATGAGCAAGACACAAGCGGAATCAGGGGAATGAATGCAAAATTGTAACACGCATCACCTTTCGGATACACTGTGTTCAGGATATCCAGTTTTCTTTTAATATTGTATCTAAACAAAAATATTTACCAAGAGGAATAAATTTTGAGATCCAAATTGTTTCTTTTAACTTTAAGTTTACTAAATACTCAGAAACTTTCACCACTTTCCATAGTGACTGCTTAATATATTACCAAGCTAAGACTAAATCATAATACAGTGAATGCATGTATTTTCACAAATGTCCATTTATTCCACGCTACATTGTCTACAAGGAAATCTCAATAAAGGTGATTAAGACAACCAAGAAAATACTTAATCTTTTTTATAAAGTTTATGAAAATTTGAAATGTGGTATAATGTGTTGAAAAGCATAGGCTTCAGAACATTACAGACCATGGTTCAAATGTTAGCTCTGACTTAATAACACATGGTTTGGATTCTGGATAAGTAAAGCTTGGTTTATGTCAGCAAGAAGCTATTAAAGGATTTCAACCAGGAAAGCTACACGAATGAAGCCTCTCCTCTTAAATGTCCATTCCATGACAGTTGCCAGCCAAGTCCTCCTGGTTTGACAGAAAAGCTGGGAGAAATTTGTGTTGCATTGATATGACTGTAAAAAAAATTCCAGAGACTTTAGAAAGTACATGTGCTAAAAGTGCCACATTTTAATGCTGAGGAAAAATTCTGGATACTTAAGAAAGACCCAGATATTTCAATTCTGCAAAGTGTGAACAGGAACTTACTGTTGATACTTAAGAGTCAAGGCCGACTCCACTGCTCACTGCAACTGGAAATACCAAGGGCCTCCTCTAAGGAGGTTAAATGTGGGTAATTAGAAAGCATGACACTTGAAATGGAGAGAGATAGATAAACAACTTCTTACAAGTATTGAAAATGATACTATTAAGTTTTTAAGTCAAATATATATTGTAGTAACAAATATAAAAAGTTTTTTAAGAAAATAAAAAGATCACATTTCACCCATACACACAAAAATGACACTGATTATAAAATAAACAAAAGTTACTACCTGAGAAAGTCTCAGAGATTGATGATTTATTAGGAGAACTCAGAGCTGCAAATGATACCTGAAGTGGTTCTATGTTTTCCTAAACAAAGGAGAAAAGGAGTAGAAATCAGATATCCTTAAATTTAGTAAGTATATAAATGCTCAAAAGAAAAATTTTTATAGGAGGAACTCATGTAATATAAAGACAGGCAATCAAGAAGAGATTTTAAAAAGTCAAAGCAAAACAAAGATATTAAATATAAAAATACATAGACTTTATGTAATTTTGTTGTTGTTGTTGTTGTTGTTGTTTTTGAATTAGAGTCTCACTCTGTCATTCGGGCTGGAGTGCAGTGGCACGCTCATGGCCACCCCGGCAATGACCTGCTGAGCTCCGGCGATTCTTCTGCCCCAGCCTTCCAAGTAGCCGGAAATACAGGCGCATGCTACCACATCTGGCTCTTTTTTTTTTTTTCTTTTTGAGGTGGAGTCTCACTCTGTCACCCAGATTGGAGTGCAGTGGCCGCTCCTGGCCACCGCAGCCTCAACCTGCTGGGCTCCGGCGATCCTTCTGCCTCAGCCTTCCAAGTAGCTGGAACTACAGGTGCACGCTACCACACCCGACTAATTTCTTATTTTATTGTAGAGATGAGGTCTCGCCAAGTTGCCCAGGCGGGTCTCGAACCCGCGGGCTCAGGCAATCCACTCACCTCAGCCTCCCAAAGGCACGGGATTACAGGCTGAGCCACCGAGCCCGGCTCATTTGGCTAATTTTTTAAAAAAATTTTACCGTAGAGACGAGGTCTCAACATGTTGCCCAGGCTGGTCTTGAACCTGCGGGCTAAGGCAATCTTCTCGCTTCAGCCTCCCAAAGTGCTGGGATTACAGGCTTGAGCCACCATGCCCGGTCTTACACTTTAAATAATATTTACTAATCATGTTTACAATAGAACACTTTACTGACAGCAATCCATCAAAAATAAAACTTTAAGTGAAAGTAGCTATACAGATCTATCAATGACTTTCTAACTCCTGTAAAGTAAACATGAAAACGCATTCATAAACACAATTTAACATTATATTATTCGGGGAACTTCAGAGTAAAACACAAGTATAAACATAGGCATCAAAGCTTCTTTACCACAAAACTGCCAATAAAATAGTAACTTGGTTTTTCATAGTTTGTCAGTTTAAAGAAATTCCCTTTCATCAATACTTCGCTCAGATTTTGGTTTTTTATGAGAAATGTATGCTAGATTTTGTTAAGTGCTTTTTCTGTATCTACTCACATATCATATTTCTGTCTTAATCTTTTAATAAGGTGAATTATACTGATTGTTTTTCCAAAATTAAGCCAACTTTGCATCCTAAGGCTAATTCTCATGTGGTTACAATGTATTATCTTTTTACATATTGTTATGTTTACAAGGACACTGAACTACAGCTTTTTTCCCTTGTAATGTCTGTCTGATTTTAGTATCAGGTTAATACTGACATCAATGAATTAAGAATTATGCCAAATTCCTCAATTTTTGAAAGAGTTTGTGTAGAATTAGTATTACAACTTGCTTAAATATTTGGTAGAATTCATAAGTAAAATAATCTGTACCTTGAATTTTCTTTGTGGGAAAGTATTAACTACAGTTTAAATATCTTAAATTGATATAAAGCTTTGAAATGATTTATTTCATCTTTAGTGAGGTTTGGTAGTTTGTCTTTCAAGGAAGTTGTCTAGCTTACCTAAGTTATTAAGTTTATTGACATAAAGGCGTTCCACATGTACAAAATGCCATGGAAGTATTGACTGTAATGAGGAAAAATTGGTAAAAATCTATATAAAAAATAGACTAATTTAAACCATGACATATCATTTAGACCTTCTAATGATTTCAAAGTGTAATTATCTCTCATGCAAAACAGGTGAGACTTGATAAATATATAAGCAAGTTTGTTCCATACTTTTCACACTTACAAGATTCTCCCCCTTGTCATCAAAATTTGGTTGAGGTAATGGCTCAAGAACTGGTGACTGCTCAAGGAGTGGGGAACTGATACCGCTTAAATCCTTTTTACACACAGGTGTTCCTCCTTTACGTAATGGAGTATTTGCTGGCAAAGATTCATCAAACACTTCAGGGCTTAGGTCCTCTCCAAAAGTAACTCTCTTTCTCTTCTTCATATTTAGAAAGGCCGGTGTTTTACAGTTTTCTTGATCTTCTATAGATAATAAATGAAAATACTTTAAAAAATTTAACTGTTTATAAGATAACTATATCTTATCTAAAAGGCATATACTAGAATCCTTTAACATGATTATATTCAGCTACTATTTGTATAATACAGTTTGTCAAACAAATTCAAAATGGAAAAGATAAGCAAATGTCCAATTAAAATGTGGTAAAAGATTTCAAAGTGAAATATTGCATGAATATCTTAAAAGTTTGTAAAATTGGAATAATAAGCTCCTTTGTAAGCGCCACCATTAAGTAAGAATGACAGGTGAAATGGACAGATCAATTGTGAGGTCTTCCAAAGAGATTCTATCCCTCCCACCTGTTCTTCATTCCCAAGTAATTTCAGAAGCATCAAAGTATTAATAGATTATTGAAAATTCCATATTTCCATATCAGATTTTATGAATAAGAAAATGATATCCTCAAAGCATAAATATAAATATGAATATTTTACCTGCTTTTTGTTCTTTGCAACTGTTTGCAAGATTTGAGATTAAGCTTGGATGAGTCTCATCATCACAGAGGTTGTTACAGTGTTCCTAAGCAAAATAAGTATCAATGAATAATTTTACCTATAGAAATATATATACAAAGTCATTAAGAATGGCAATTTTGAATGTCTCTGCCAAGGGCAGACAAATACTCTATTATTGAAGATTATCTTTATTTTTATAATTGTTATTGTTGAATACACCATGATACCAGGCACAAATAAGAACAAGGTTCCCAGGATACTACTTTAGAAAATAGCGTTTTAGGCCAAAGAACAGAAATCAATAAATGTGGGTTAAATTCATTCTATTCTTGATCTAGCAAATGAAGTTAAGAAAAATGTGAGTGGCTAGAATTACAGGGTATAAGCATCCCTCAGTATTTATGGGGGATTAGTTCCAGGACCCCTCGTAGATACCAAAATGCACAGATGTTCAAGTCCTGTATATCAAATATTACTATTTGCGCTTAACCTACATACATCCTCCTGTATATTTTATATAATCTCCAAATTACTTATAATACATAATATAGTGTAAATGCCATGTAAATAGCTACACGGTATTGTTTTTATTTGTATTACTTTTAATTGTTGTATTATTATCTATCTTTTTCTGAATATTTTTAGCCTGTAGTTGGTTCAATTTGTGGATGCAGAACCAGCAGATACGAAGGGCTGAATATACCATACATGTTGTCAGATGAGGACAACTATATAAACAGTCTGGAATATAAAAATTGCACTAGAAGAAGAAAACAAAATACCAACAGGCAAGCAATATAATACAATATTCTGTCTTTTAAACATGGAAGCCGTGCTTTAAAGTGTTTAAATCCATCTATATGGCCATCTTCTTGGGGAAGAAACAAGGCAGGAAGGTAGCACTTATCCCTGAGTGTTTCTCCAAATGAAGATTACAATGTAGGCAAGTTAGTAAGCAAGGGATATTGAAACCTTGTAGAAAGGACAGGACACACAGAACACAGGGCCCCCAGAGCTCAGCAGGAGAGAGCCAGGCCTGTGGAATGGATCAAAGTTCCCTCTTCATCACCACTTACTTGTCCAGCCTTAGTTATTGAGAGTTATTTATTTTCTCCTATATACTCATTCCAAGAACAGCATCTGCTCTAAGAAATAGTCCTGCCCCAAACAAACCTCCTTAATCTACTATGTTGCAAGTCAGTTCATTTTCCTGAACAGGAAAATGCATATAGCAATATTGTGAAATGAGTTAATTTATACAACAATGTTCATGTTTACTTTTAGATTTATTTTAAATTAAAACAGTCACAAAAGTCATAACTCAAATTTTATATGCCTATCAACTTTTGCCATCTTAGTATAAAGATCATTACTTGTAAATGTTTTCAAGTGACAGGATTTGATGTTTGCTGTGTTCTATTGTTAATAAATAAGAGTGATGCCATACGTAGTGGCTTACACCTGTAATCCTAGCACTTTGGGAGGCCAAGGCAGGAGGATCGCTTGAAGCCAGGAGTTCAAGACTAGCCTGAGAAATAAAGCAAGACTTCGTTTCTATAAAAAAATTTAAAAATTAGCTGGACATAGTAGGGCACACCTGTAGTCCCAGCTACTCAAGAGGCTGAGGCAGGAAGATCACTTAAATCCAGAAGTCCAAGGCTGCAAAGAGCTATGATCGTGTCACTGACCTCCAGCCTAGTTGACAAAGTGAGACTCTGTCTAATAAATAAAAATTTTTTTAAAATAGTTATGTAAATTATTAAGATATAAGTCTCCTTGAGAAGTAGATAAACACAAGATATGAATAAACAGTGCTATACCTATTATAGGTACAAATTAGCTATTTAACCAAAGAAATTGTTGAAACTTTAAAAATAGCAATTGACCATCAATATCCGTGTTACTAGAAGGTAATTCAGCTTATTTTGGCTTTAGAAACAGATTTATAGGCATACTTGTATGCTAAAATGTTAATGATTTAGAAAAAAGATTTGTATTTCTGATGTGCCAGGCACTGGTGGTGATTTCATATTATTATCTCATTTAATCCTCAAACTACCCAGTAAGGTACTTACTAGTATCGTCCTTTTATTGTCCATTAGGAAACCAGGCACAAAAACGTTAAATGATGTGCCCAGTTATTAAATTTCCATGATAGGATTTGAAGCCAGGTATTCTGAGGCTATATTTTTTCACCCCTCATGGATTTACAGTCTGTAATGGGTTTTAACATCAGACTTATCTAGGTTCACTCAACTACCTGCAGGCCTAAGTGTATGTGAAATGGGGCCAATACCTTTCTTGAAGCACTACTGCTGTATATATGTCAGAGTTGTCAATAAAAACTACTTAATAAATGCCAGCCAGTTCCCACCAACTTCTTTACTAACATTACCTGAGCTGAGAGACACCAGCATGGCTGTAAGAGATACTTTTAAGACCAAATATTTTGGGTAGAACAATAGGTAACAGACTAACATGTTAATTATGATTAATAAATTATTATCACTATATAATTATATAAAACTAGTCAATATAATTGTTAGTGAAATTAAGATTATGAACCCTTTATACATGATAATCTACTTACATTAAAATCTACAAACTTAGCTTAAAAAAAAGAAAGAAATTCTACATGATATAGTATAAGTGAGGGAAAAGAATCCTATGACGTTTCAGAGGTATTGCTTTGAAACAAAATGAATTTTGATCCCTTTTCTTTAGGAAATGTAACTCCTTTATTACCTGTAAGCTCTCAAGACACGGCTTAACAGAGGGTTTCTTCAAAACAGAGCGAAGTACCAGGGTCTCAGAGGATGGAATGTCACTCCTGCACACCGGAGTCGCTGGTGAGCTGACGTCAGAGACCGTGCCTGTGCCCACTTCTGTTCTGAATGTGTTAGGTGAGACAGCACCACTTGATCCTTTGCCTTCTACACAGTCAGCAACCTTGAGTCCTTCAAGATAAACATGTATAACTGAGAGGTGAAAGGCATCTATATCTGTTTGTTCTAGCCCAAAAATATACTATGTATTTGTAAAGATAATAATATACTATTAAGAAATTCAACCCTGGCAACCCCTCGGGTCCCCTCCCACCGTGGGAGCTTTACCGTCCTCAATAAATCCTGCTTTCTCAGTCAGGCTCGGTGGCTCAGCCTGTAATCCCATGCTTTGGGAGGCTGAGGTGAGTGGATCGCCTGAGCCCGCAGGTTCGAGATCCGCCTGGGCAACTTGGCGAGACCTCATCTCTACAATAAACCAAAAAATTAGCACGCGCCTGTAGTTCCAGCTACTTGGAAGGCTGAGGCGGAAGGATCACTGGAGCCCAGCAGGTCGAGGCTGCAGTGGCCGGGAGCGGCCACTGCACTCCAGTCTGGGCGACAGAGTGAGACTCCAACTCAAAAAAAAAAAAAAAAAAAGGAAAAGAAATTCAACCCTAATATATACTGCTCAGGGAGTAACATCTGGGATTTATCTGGAAATTTTAAAAGGTTAAAAAGTGGCATTGGTCAATTTTAATTCTGAATCTGACTCCTAAGGATAAAAGTACGGAGTTTTAGTTCCCATGGAAATGTGGGTCAGAGATAGGAAGAAGGTATCATGAATTGGCTAAATTGTTAGTCTACCTCTATTCATGACAGTGCTCACTTGCATCATAGAACTAACCTAAGCTGGGCACTGAATAATGAGTGATTTACTGCTGAATGCAGAGACATTTGATAGGCAAGGACAGGGGGAATGAGACAAGAGAAGAGTGAGAAGACTACCAAACCAAACTACGAACACACTGTATGTGGTGTCCTCAAAGCAGACAAGGCTTTCCCCCCAGATGCTTCCTCGCAAGAGAGCACAGCCTCAAGACCGAGTGGTTCCTTTAAGGAATGAGATAGGTATTCCTTCGGGTGCTGGAGATGAAATGATGAGCAAAACACACAAAGCCTCTCCCTCAACTATCACAGAATAAACAGATAATGTAAAATCTACTAACAGGGAGAAGAGAAGAAGGGAGATAGTGGTGGCTATAAAGGGTAGCATGAGGGACCCTTGGGACAGAACCAGTCTGTATCCTGACTGTAATGGTCACATGAGTTTACACATGCAGTAAAATAGCATAGACTAAACACACACAAAAGTGAGTATGTGTCAAACTGATAAGACCTGAAAACAAGTTGGTACATTATGACAGCATCAATTTCCTGGTTTTAATATTGCATTGTAGCTATGCAAAAAAACTAGTCATGACGAAAACTAGGTGAAGTGAATACTGGATAAAAATAGCAAATTCAGTTATTTTGCTTATTTATTTATTTTTGATCCTTCCGCCTCAGCCTTCCACGTAGCCAGAACTACAGGCGCATGCTACTACCCCTGGCTAATTTTTGCTTTATTGTAGAGACGAGGTCTCACCATGTTGCCCAGGCTGGTCTCAAAACCTGCAAGCTAGGCAATCCTCTTGCCTCAGAGCAGCTATTTTAAAATAAAAAGTTGAAAAAATATGCATACACATAACAAGCAGTAATACACACTATTGAGGAAAATGATGTGGCAACAAATGTAGCAAGTAAGAAATGGTTAGATAGTTGATATGTTTTGAAAATTGCAGAGTGAGGTGCTTGGTATTATGACAATTTTCAGTGACTACATTTCATATAATCTATAATTATTTCAAAGAACATGTCACTCCTAAGCAAAGTCCCATGAGAGCAAAGCAAAAGTAATTGGTAAGAAATGCCAAAGGCAGCCGGGCTCAGTGGCTCAGCCTGTAATCCAGCGCCTTTGGGAGGCTGAGGTGAGTGGATTGCCTGAGCCCGCGGGTTCGAGACCCGCCTGGGCAGCGAGACCTCATCTCTACAATAAATCAAAAAATCAGCCGGGCGTGGTAGTGCATGCCTGTAATTCCGGCTACTCGGAAGGCTGAGGCGGAAAGATCACCAGAGACCAGCAGGCAAGGCTGCGGTGGCCGGGAGCACTCCAGTCTGGGCGACAGAGTGAGACTCCAACTCAAAAAAAAAAGAAATGCCAAAGGCAAAAGCACATGACTTCATCACGGTAACAGATTTATAATGTGCCCTGCACCTTATCCAGGCAGGCAGGTAGACCATCCATCCATTTATTTTATGACTACAATTAAAAGGCAGAGCAGAAGCTCACTACAAAAATGCTAGAGAAGTTCTTTTTCAGCCTGAAGGAAAATAACAGGGAGAAACTCAGACTTTCAGGAAGAAATGAAGAGCATCAGAAATGGTAAGATCTGGGTAAACAGAAAAGACTATTTTCCCCCGTTGATCTGTTTAAAACACACATGGGTACAGTGGCTCAAACCTGTAATCCCAGCACTTTAGGAGGTCAAGGTGAGAGGACTGCCCGAGCCTGCCGGTTTGAGACCAGCCCAGGTAACTTGGCGAGACCTCGTCTTTACAATAAATAAAAAATTAGCCGGGCATGGTAGCATGCGCCTGTAGTTCCGGCTACTTGGAAGGCTGACGCAGAAGGACTGCAGGAGCCCAGCAGGTAGACACTGGGGTGGCCTTGAGTGTGCCTCTGTGCTTCAGGCTGGGCAACAGAGTGAAACTCTGACTCAAAAAAATAAGTTATGTTAAATTAAATACATATAACTGTTTAAAGCAAAAATGATAACATCCTGTGGGGCTTTCAATGAAGTAAATGTAATACATATGACATCTACAGTGTGCAGGACCATATAAGGAGAGACCAAGAAAACCCGGAATTACTCTTTGGATGATGGGCTTCCCCCGCTAGGGAAGTGTTCTAGGAACCTACTGGCATCAGTGTACCAGGAGCGTTGTTGGAAGAGGCTGCATATGGCTTCAGTGAATTTTTGGAGATTCTTTCAAAGTGCTTGCCTATTTCATGATGGGTGATTTACGTGAACAACCTGCCCACCCTGTGCTGAGTGTTCAGCAGTTTTTGATCAAAAACAGGACCCCTGTGCCTCAGCCTCTCTATTCACCCAATCATGCTCTGAGCAACTTTGTTTCCCCAGGATGAAAGAAGTCCTCAAAGGGAAATATTGTTGCCAGTGTGGAAGAAGTGAAATGACAAATGGCAGAAGTACTAAAAGGCATCCTAACTGATGAGTTCAAAACTGTTTCAAGCAGTGGGAAAAGCAACGTGGTAGGTGTATTGCATCAGATGGAGAGTACTTAAGGTGACTGAAGTTTAAACATATAAAAACAAATACACAATTTTTTATAAATAAATTGTGGTATTTTGGGGGTCCCCCTTATAAAAGCCATAGTTGGGGAGGAAAGAAAACTGATCTACATGGTGTGTAACATTTCTACAGTTTATGTAAAATTGTTCAATATTAACACTAAATAGTCTGTGAAAAGTTAAAAATGTATACTGTAATGTCTAGAGCAACAATAAAACAAGATGCATTTAAATGGAATTCTAAAGAAATATTTGAATAAACCCAAAAAAGGCAAGAACAAGAAAAAACAAAAATATAAAGAACAGAAAACAGAAACAAAAAATACAAAGAACAGAAAACATGCAATAAAATGTAGATGTGAATCAAACCATATCAATAATTCCTTTAAATGTTAATGGGCTAAATATGCCAAATAAAGGCAGAAATGGTCAAAAATAAATGAAAAAGCAAGATCCAACTATATGCCACAAGAGTTTTACTTTAAAGATGGAGACAGGTAGAATAACAGTAACTCTAAAACCTTGCAAGTCACCTTCAATCAATACGAGTGTACTGATTTTGGGAAAAGTTAAATAATTTTTACTTCCTTTCTTACCCACTTAAAAACAGAAATAAACAAGAAAATTTCATGTGTCCTTCTTTAACAAAACATACCTGTTAATATATTAATAGCTCCTACTCTTTATACTAGATTCCATCAGCTTGGAAATACTTCACTAATTCTTTTCGACAGCAATTCAAAAGAGCAAATATTCCTCACGTAACAAGAACTCTAAGACATTTCTACCAGGTCCCAAGCTTTAAAAGTCAGGAATCGTTTTAGTTTTTCCTAGAATTAGCGAATAGGTACAATAATCATAAATGTCTCTGAAGGGGCAGCTGGTGCTGCACTGAGGAAGCATTGAATACGTACCATCTGAAGACTCTGTGAGCTCTGCAAGGGGAGCAGACTCTTCAACTAAAAACACAGACAGGGTTGAGCCAAGTTCAGACGATTTCTTGAGGAAAACCTTTAAAGAATAAAGAAGTGTTACATTTTATTACTTACAATATTATTGATGTCTTTTTGAAGGCTTGAGTAAGCATTAGGGATTACCTGGAAATACAGTATTCAATCAGTCACCTTCATTATCTAGTGAACTCAAAGTATCCAGGAATCTAACAACAGAGTACTTATCTTAACTGCATCCCAAACATCCCACAAATCAAGTTTCAGTTCCCTAGGAACAGTTTAAAGGGCATATTTTTGTTGCCTTCGTAAAGCCTAGAAAGCGGTTCCACCTGCAATCCTTTAAGCAGAAAACTCTCAAAATAAAGGAAAGCTTATATTAATAATCAAACTCTAAATGCTATAAATAGCTAAGATAGGAAAAACATTAACAGCTAGCATAGAAAACAAGTATTAATTCAGAAATAATTTCAGAATCATGATATAGGTTCAAACAATCAATCAAAGTTCGAAGAAACAAGTACTGCTGCATCTGTCAGATGGTAACTTCACATTAACCTGAACAATGCAGAAGAAGTACAGATTACAGGCAATTCAGAGATACAAATGAAACCCACTGGTCTGTGCTGACTATCAAACCTTCATTCCGCCAGTTCAAATAAGAGGAACAGGACGAGAGGGGATCTGAGTGACAGAGAAGGTGCAGAAAAAGGGTTCCAACGTAATGGCATCAGGCATCTCCTCTCACAAAGGAAGTGTGAGCTGAGGGTGTCAAACCAGAGCTAAGAGTATGAAGCAAGAGTAAGCAGTCATGAGAGACCAGCTCTCTGTGGACATTTGTGTGAAGGCTGACAGGTCTTCAATAATGTTTTTCTCCCAATTTAGTAATAGTCATGTTGATTATTGTCTTTTGCCCATCTTGACAGGCTTCGAGTAATTATAAAGCCACAAAGTTACTTGAAAGACGCGAGCAGAGCAAAGGAGAAATTGCTAATAGTGCCCTACTTCCCAGTCAGTATGAAAGCTGGTAGGGGTAGCAGGAAGTGCAAGAGCCCTAAAGCTGAGAAGACTCCCACATGGGATCCTCATCTTATTTGCCAGTTGTGTTCAAACCATTTGTTTATATGATGGCTTTCCCAGTAGACAGAAAGCTGCTCGAAGGCAAGGCCGTGACTTCTTGCTTCCTGTACTATCACCTTCTAAAACAACACCACACGTGCAAAAGACCACAGGGTTCCCCTTGTCTCAAAGTTCCTTTTGTAAAGTTAGTAGTCAAAAGTGATGTATCTATCCAAACCGTTTCGATTAAGCAATAAATACCAACCAACAATAAAAAAATTAACAGGTAGCAAACACACACACACACACAACTTTAAAACCCCAGCAGAATAAGATACTAAAATATAGTAGAACAAGGTACTAAAATTGAAGAAGGCATTGCCAATCTTAAAACTGTCTATGCAGAAAAACAAAGCTTCATTTCTTATGTGTAAAGTAAGTGAATTACCTCAGATAGCTCGGCAGAATTTTCAACCGCATGTGTGCTGTCTGTATCAGTACTGACTATCTGGAGATTAATTACTTTTCCTTCAGCATCGGTTAGATTTTCATCATAGTTGCTGTGCGAGGACATTCTTGGACATTTGGATAACTTTGCAGGGAATGCAGACTGATGACATTCACTAAGAACTTCCTTCTTGGCTATACACACAAAACAAAATAATACCCAAATGACAAAGACATAAATTCTTTCTTTTACGTTATGATTTTAAAATTTTGTACATTGCCGGGCTCGGTGGCTCAGCCTGTAATCCCGCGTCTTTGGGAGGCTGAGGTGAGTGGATGGCCTGAGCCCGCGGGTTCGAGACCTGCCTGGGCAGCGAGACCTCATCTCTACAATAAATCAAAAAATCAGCCGGGCGTGGTAGCGCATGCCTGTAATTCCGGCTACTCGGAAGGCTGAGGTGAAAGGATCGCCGGAGCCCGGCAGGTCAAAGCTGTGGTGGTCGGGAGCGGCCACTGCACTCCAGTCTGGGCGACAGAGTGAGACTTCAACTCAAAAAAAAAAAAAAAAATTTGTACATCATAATAATCTTAGTAAAATTTAGTGCTTGAGTCTAAGTTATCAATGAAGGAAAAATCTAGTATAGGTTATTATTCAAAAAAGGAGATCTAACTCAAAGATAAAAGAACATGACTACTAAAAAGATAAGTTTAAGTATTAGAATTTAGTTTTACCAGAGCTTAAAATGTAAAGAGATATACTAAAATACATTTGCATGTCTGACATGGTGTCTCATTCTTTTTAAATTTACAATGACACCTTTTATTTTGAGCATTTTAAAGGATGTGGTTATGTTCTAATACTCTCTATAATTCTGTGAAAAACACAACCACAATGTGCTTCAGCTCTCTCTAGCTACAAATAAAGGAATTTAATTGTCTGCAGAATTGTAATAATAATGCAAATGAATTGTAAACCTCAGAGAAAACCTGAGACAATAAGTAAGTTACAAACTCTAAATACAAACTAGTGCATCTGAACGGGTCACATGCACTATGATAGGCAGATGAATCAGATTTGTCTTGGGCTAGCAGTGCACTGCACACAAGACGTACCGAAATGCACTTAACAGTTCTCGAAGTCAAAACAAAAGCATTTGGAACCTTAGCGTTTAAAGACCAGAGGGCTGTTTATAGTGATTACAGGTAGGCCAAGATTTTGTTGAATTCTGGTGTGTGAAATACTTTGTAATTGCAAAAAATAAAAGTAAAAAAAAAAAATGACTGAAAAAATAACCAAATGAATGATAAATGAAGAGCTAAGGTAAAGAATATGGCAGACCATCAGATTGTATATCTTTGTTTTTAACGTTAGGGTTGGACATTTGGTATTCATATAAATGCTTGCCAAACTTAATAGAAACTGTAAAAATCAAGGTTTGTAAATTCAAACTCGCCATAAGCTCTATTCTAAAGGTGAAATGAACTAATGAGAGCTTTGACATTTTATAACTAAAACTTAACTGTGACCATGTGGAAATGTAGGATCAGGAATGCCTGATACAGTTTTTTCAAGAGAAACCAAAAACCCATATTTTTTGAGTGAAATGTCCCAAATTTCAATATTAGGCTGCATTTAAAATACACTTTCATCCTGCTGAAGTGAATCATTTCATGGCTTAGAATCTCATCTTTATAAACACAGAAAGCAAACTGAATGAATACTTTCTACTCACTCAATTCTGTCATTGTGAACTCTCTTCCTGCTTCTGAGAAGTCCTGATAGTCAGCCATGTTCTCACTTTCCTTTATGGACTGAAAAGCTGACTGGAAAGCAGACAGTCGCTCTCTTAAAATGTTAGCATTTTGATACAGTGCGGGGCTGCCCTGTGAAAGCACAAAAACACAGAAGGTCTTAGAAATTCAATCAAAAATAGTTTCTATACTCTGGGCCTATAGCCACTGAATCCAAAACTAAAACTGCACACCAAGCTTTTTGAAGATCAGAGGTAATGAATTCATGTAGCAGAGCCTCTTCGCCCTGGAATTAAACATTTTCAGTTTAAAGAAGTTTAGCACAAAAATGTTGGGAGGCTAGCCTCTGAGATTAGATGGAGGGCACCAAAAAAAAAACCCCAATAAACAAAAAAAACCCCCACTGAATCCTGGGATGGGGTAAGAAAGGAGGGACAAGAGGAACCTACTTGGAAATTTTACCAAAGGTTGCACTGGAAGTATCCACACAAAGTCATCAGCATGACACCTATGTCACACGTGAGTCTTGGCCCACCTTCTTCAGTTCAAGCTGGTCCTCTACTCAATACTGGTAGAGATGAGCCTTTTAAGCTACATGGTCTCCAGCCCAGGATGTCAGAACAAGACAGAGAAGAAGTTCCCTGTGCCTGGATACCCATGCTCACATTGCTCTCTCCTTTAGCTGGCTTTCCCCAGATAAACTTTCCTGATTTTATGAGATGTAGAGGGTGTTTACTTCCTTAGGGTTAAAAGCCAGTTATTCACTTAAAATACAAAGTTCGATGGTGTAAGTCCAGGAACTCTCTGGAAACCCTGTTAACAGAATTTTAGCCAAAGACTGGTAAAATTAAATTTATACTAGCAGAGACAGAAGGTAAATGACATAAAAAAAAAATTTTTTTTGAGTTGGAGTCTCACTCCATTGTCCATGCTGGAGTGCAGTGGCCCGCTCACAGTCATCCCAGCGTCGACCTGCAGGACTCTGGTGATCCTTCCACCTGAGCCTTCCAAGTAGCCGCAACTACAGGTGTATGTTACCATGCCTGGCTATTTTTTAATTTATTGTAGAGACGAGGGTTCACCAAGTTGCTGGGGCTGGTCTTGAACCTGCAGGATCAGACAATATACTCGCCTTGGCCTCCCAAAGTGCTAGGATATAGGCTGAGCCACTGAGTCCAGCCGACATAAAATTTAAGAGTTCTGTTAACATATAAAATAAACTGTTATGTTCTCTATTCAGTTTCTGGCAATTAAAAAAATTAAACCAACAGGTAAAAGTAAAAATTACCTCCCCTCAAGATATCATACGGAAAAAAGCAGTTAAAATCTTGCAACCATGTCTGAATGTGATCTGTTCACATGCAGTTCCAATGAATATACTCGTAAAGCAAACCATTACATAATAACAGAACACTTTAAATTCAAATATGCTTGATGATGTAAAATCTTTAAGATATAAACAGTACATAATATTCATAAAAGGCTTGTGGTCAACACATCTACATGAACAATAGAGAAAAAAATGATCTCCAAGTCATACAATTTACCTTGAATATGCTTTCTTTGTACTTATAGCGAACATGGTAGGGCTAGGTGTAATATTCTAGGAATTCGGGGCACTTTGAAATGTTGCTTAAAATAAATTATAGGTTTCCCTAGTCAAAACTGTTTTTCTATGTTTCCTACTAGAGAAACAGACCAAGAGTGCCACTTTTGGGGATGGTTCTGTCTTATGAATTGCATTGGTCAATCAACAACATTCCTTCCATGCATCAGGAACTGTTCCAGGGGTTCAGGGCCCAGGGGAAAAATTACTTTCTAGAATGAAATTCTGAAACCTATTAGTGCGGTTTCAGGTACAAGAGGTGCTATGGAGATGCTAAAACAGTAATGTGGCGTAATTTCTACAGTGCTGCTGTATCAAGGCAAAACTCTTACCTGAAGTAGAATGCGAGTTGAAACTGAAATAACAAAAATGTGGTTTGAAGAAAGACATCGCAATAGGGAGGCATGCTGCAAGAACAAGGCTGAATAAGCAAAGGTCCCGAGCAGAAATACGACAGAGCAGAAAGGCCAGTGTGCCCAGTAAAAGGAAGATGAGGCCAGAAGTAGGCATGAAGCTTTAGGAAGAGATCTGGCTGGGTCTAATTCAAGGCATAATAGGAAGCCACAGGAAGGTTTTGAGTAACACGGTAAATGATTTGATTTCTACTTTAAATAAATATTTCTGACTGCTCTGTAGAATTCTGGATGGATTAGGGAAAGAAGAAAGGAGACCAGTTAGGAAGCAGCAGCTGGGGACCCTGGCAAGAATCACAACAGGATTGTAGCAGCGAGGGATGTGAGGAACCACGGAGAGGTATTTTGAAAGTAGCCAAAAGACAGTGATGGGTTGGGTGTGGGGCACAAGGAAGAAAAGAACCCAGGGACACCAACAGGCTTATGGTCCGAGCAGCTGGGGGACAATGGCCTTGTTGACAGGGAAAGAGGCTGGAGGATCTGGTGAGGAGTGAAAACCTGAAATCTTGCTTTGGCCACGTTGTACTCAAAGTACTTATTCACAGACCCAAGCGCAGACACTGAATGGACAACTGGCTTCCGGGTCTGGAAATGCTAAGGGACTTTGTGCTGAACACAGACATGTCAGACATCAGTCTATAGATAATGTTCAAAGCAAAGAGTAGGAGGCAGAGGAGAGCCCTGGGCACTCCAACATTTTTTGAGGGGAAAACTGGAGGCAGGGGAAGAATTAGCAAATGAAATACAGAAGGAATGACCAGTGACACAGGAAGAAAATCAGGTCAGCAAGGAATTCCATAAACCACATGAACAGTGTTTCAAGGTCAAACGTACCAAAAGCTGCTGAAAGGATGAGTCAGATGAAAACTTAGACTTAATCTTTGTTTTTGTTTTTTGAGTTGGAGTCTCACTCCATTGCCCAGGTGGGAGTGCAGTGGCACGCTCACGGCCACCCCAGCGCTGATCTGCTGGGCTCTGGCGAGCCTTCCACCTGTCTTCCAAATAGCTGAAACTACAGGTGCACACTACCATGCCTGGCTAGTTTTTCATTTACTGTAGAGATGAGGGCTCACCAAGTTGCCCAGGCTGGTCTCGAACCTGCGGGTTAAGGCAATCCACTTGCCTCAGCCGTTCAAAATGCTGGGATTACAGGCTGGGCCACCTAGCCCGGCTGAGACTTAATCTTTGGATTTGCAAGATACAGTCCATTTGTGATCAATGGTGATGAGTCTTCTCAACAGAAGGGCAGAAACAAAAGCCTGACTGGAGAGAATGCTAGTGGCAGGAGGATGAGAAGAGGGGGAGCTAAGTTGTTCAGTGAGTTTTGCTGTGATAAGGAGTTGAGTGTAGGAATAACTAATTCAGTTTCTCCTGTATTCTCTCACTCAATAATCAACACAGAACACTTCCGTGACCAAACATGAGTGGGCTATTCCCCACAAACCAAGCAAACAGTCCTACAGCAGATATCACCTGGGTATCCTCTAATTCAATTCTGATGCCATCTACCTGGAGATGGCATCAGAACCCACAAGTTGAGAGCTGAGTCCCACAAGACCTCCCACGACTTCCTACCCATATAAACTTTTCTAAGGAACTTACTGAGGTCTGCAAAACCTGATGCTAAACCTTTCACTGTAAATTTTCTTAGGGGTGATTCTTTATCTTCTCCTGTAGTTTCCTTCAATGAAGCAGATCCTTTAACAGTTTCTGTCACTTTGTTCATCAAGATCATGGTTATGATCTTAAAGACATGCTTAACTGGTAAACAACAAACATTACTGATTTTCTACCTTGGTCACTACCACGGTACTTAATCACTTTTAATTTTGTTTCCAGGCCAATGGCTTGACATGTCCTCTTATGGGCAACATTAGCAGTGGATTTTGTATACTTAGGGCCATAATGAACAAAATATGAGAAAATGATACAATCAAGAGACACCATAAACACAAGATATATGAGGCTGCTGCCAGCATAACATAGCACACTGCATTAAGGTAAACTTTTATTTTTTGTCAGTAAAAGTGCACTTTAAAATAATGATAAAAAGTATAGTAAACACAAGGAGGAACCCCACCAAAAGCTGTAATTATCTTCTGGAGGGCGGGCACCTTGCAGTACACTCAGAATTTGCTTCTCCATATCAAACAGTCAACCAAAGTTTTTACCCAGAAGCTTTGAGAAGGTTGCCTCACGATTTGTGGAAGAAACGTCTCAAGTTGTGGTAAACAGGTGACTGGTTCTTCCACCAAGACAATGCACCTGCCCACACTGCGCTGAATGTTCAGAAGTCTTTGGCCAAAAACAGCATGATCCCCACGTCCTACCTCCCTATTCACCTGATCTCGCCTCTAGTGACTTTTTTTTTGTTTCCCCAGTGAAAAAAAGTCCTTAAAAGGAAACATTTTGCTGATGTGGAAGAGGTGAAACAAAAAACGGCAGAAGCACTAAAAGGCACCAAAATTGATAAGTTCAAAAACGGTTTTGAGCAGTGGAAAAAGCATCTCCATAGGTATGCTGCATAAAATGGAGAGTACTTTGAAGGTGACTGAAGTTTAAACATGTAAGAATACAATTTTTATAAATAAATTCTGGCTTTTTTGGGGTTGTCCCCCTGTACATAAGCCAGTAACATAGTCACTTTATTATCATCATCAAGCATTATGAACTGTATATAATCGTTTGTGCTTTTACACTATCGGTAGCACAACAGGTTTACACCAGCACTGCTACAAACACATGAGTAACGCATTAGACATGACATCAGCCACATCACCTATATTACCAGGTGACAGGAACTTTTCAGCTCCATTACAATCTTATGAGACTGGATGAAATATGCAATTCATCACTGACCAAAAAATTATTATGCAGCACATGACTGCATTTGACTTTTTAGGGGTATGCATTATTTTATTAAAAAATCGAAAAAATAGCTGGCTGGGCACGGTGGCTCATGCCTATAATCCCAGCAATTTGGGAGGCCGAGGTGAGAAGATTGCCTGAGCTCAGGGGTTCGAGACCAGCTTGGGCAACTTGGTGAGACCTAATCTCTACGATAAATCAAAAAATTAGGGGTGTGGTGGTGCATGCCTGTAGTCCCAGCTACTTGGAAGGCTGAGGTGGAAGGATCACCTGAACCCAGCAGGTTGAGGCTGAGGTAGCCGTGAGTGTGCCACTGCACTCCAGCCAGGGTGACAGAGTGAGACTCCAACTCAAAAAAAAAAAAAAAAAAGAAAAAATAGCTAAATATATCCCGATCACCAAGAATTTGCTCCTTTCCACAAGATTGTCCTAAATACATTCTATCCTGGGAGACCTTAACCTTTATAAAACAACACATAGCAGTCATGCAAAAATTAGAAACTTACCTCTAAGTTTCTAAAAGAAACTTTTCTAAAAGAAAAAGGTTGTAGTACCTCACCTCACAGAAAAATATACATTAACTAGAAAAAATGTGCAAAATAAAATAGAAAATCATTTCTATCCAAGGTATTATAACTTAAAATACTCATACTCAATATCATCATTTATGCTGACTGCATAATTCTGTCAGACACAGAGATGAGCTGCCCCAGAAGGCAGAAACACTGAAAAAAAGCTTGAGAATTGAGTAAACATTTCTCTAGAAGAATTCATGACAGCACTTAGAAGAAAATCATACCAGAGAATGGGAATCCTGTGCCAAAGAAGATTTCTTAGCATTCTTTAAACTTTTCCTCTTAGCGATGAAACGAATCAGATGGTTTGTTTCAGGAGAGCCCCGAGCACCAACGGAAGAACGTCGCCTGGATTTTTTAAGGTAGGATGGTGACTTTCCTGTAACGAAACTCTCTTATAAGTTGCAACAAAACAAGGTAACTATCAGTAATCACATCCAATACTCATGATGTACTAGCAAGAGAGAGAAATGATAAAACACATGCTACAAAAAGCTCAGGAGAGAATTACTGGCAACGTTATTCATACATAATCAGTTGGATAGGGATCTTTGTTTTGTCCATTAATTTAGTCCATGTTCCTAGAACAGGGGCTGGTATGTAGAAGGCATTTAATTTGTTGTTAAATAAATGCAGGAAGACATTTTAATTAACAGTATTCATTTTTGTTCCATATTTCCTACACACAGACATGGGTTTTGCTTTTGACTAAGAATTTTTCTGAATAAGTCAGTCTTATCACCAACAACTGAAAAGCAAGACCTCTCCCTAGGCATATGTGATCTCATGTTCTTAATTCCTCAAGATAACTTTGTTTCTTAGATACCTACCTTCAGCACTATTCTGAATTTTGGCTATATGCCTAAGCACACAAAATAAATCCAACTGTTTAGAGGTCTAAGAGTGACATACTTGAGAAGGGAAGATAGGATGGAGTTCTACTTTGGCCTTATCTTATTGGTTACTACCTAGTCTAGTGCCCCTGGACTCCCATTATCCTCCATTTCTAAATGCTGTTCTGTAACCCATTTACATTCCCATTCAGTATTTCTTTCTTCTCCATCTAAGCTTCACTTCACAGGTAAATTTCATTACTAGCGCTTGAAGGAGATTAGCCTCTGAGTCCATTTTCTGTTTGTCATTTTTGAAGGCGGTATATACCCCAATCTTTCGACACTTTCTTCATTGCTCTAATACTTTATCTTACATTTGCCATACATGAAAATTAAATGTATTACTATTCAGATTATAAACCTCCTTATAGCATGTATCAGGTCAAATGTGATCAAACGTTCTTTTCCATTCCCATGTGAAGCACAACTCTGACTTAGAAACATTATCGTGCTAGATGCCTTGGGACCCCATCACCCTTGCTCTGCTAGATGAGCTATGCATGCGCCAAGAAGTCTCCTCGAACAAGCAAGTTCCCAGTCAATGTAGAGACCTGATAAAATAGTATATACCATATCTTTACAATAATAACAAAAAAAACAGTGCATATAGGCAAATAAAGCTGAGTTACACGGGAGTTATCTTTAAACTTGAAAAGCACTATAAAACAATGACAACTTCTCATACCTGAAGAGTCCTTAACAAAGCTTTCCGCTGTAATTCCCAATTGCTCTACAGTGACTGTGGAATAGTTCAAAGGAGATTTTAAAACATCTGTTGGGCAAGGACTGGAAGGTACTTCTGCGGCATGCTTCTGCGGAGTCACAATCTTCCCAGTCCCCCAAATGAAAGAGGCGTTTTCTGAAACAGACAACAACACATCGTAAGGCCTAAACATCATCATCAAGGCAAACACCCAAACCTTGCATTTCACAAGGAGGCATCCCGACCACCACCACGTACCAGCATTATTAAAAGCAGACTCCTTGGTCTCAGGGGGCTCATCTTCTGACTTGGTATCCATCTAAGAGCTGAAGGGGGGGAAAGAAGGAAGAAGAAAGAAAAATGAGCTCGGTTCGCTCAAGAGCCTCATTCAAAGTGAATTCTAGTACAACCTACAGTGGCAAGCAAACACATGTCAAGGGAGTACTTTCGAAGCTCAAAATGAAAGAGAAGGAAATGGAAGAGACTGCCGTTCGGGATCAAACCAAAAGCAGACTCTACACGATTAGACAGGGGGCTTTTCAACCGCAGCCGACATCGGCCTTTTAGCAGGGTGCCCCGAGAAAGACAGCGGCTTTGTGCACTTCCGGAGGTTCTAACCCAGCGGGTCTGGAGGGACCCCGGGGGCGACCCAGAGCCGGTCCCGAGAGGGCCACCAACTCCGCGG